TACTAACTTAAAAAAATCACAAACCACTAACTGATTGAACATTTTTTAATTAAAATCTGTGGGTTTTACACTAAAAATTTTGTATTTGTTTCGCAAAACTCAATACACTTGAAAACATGTGTTTAAAAATTTAGTATATGAAATCTTTAAGTTTAAACCTCTTAAGAAAGTTATTAACAAGTAAAAATTCTTTTTATTATGAATACCTCAAAAGAGTTAAAGGAGTACAAGAAATAATTTTTTAGAAGCCAGTGTTATTAAAGAAGATTCATTAAAAAAATGTAAATACCTCCAATAGAATTTTATTTTTTAAAACTCGTCTATATTAAAAACATCTTTTAAAAAATCATTTCAATTTATTATAAGTAACCCAAAATAGTTAGGAGGAAAAAAATGAAATTTGAGAAGATAAAATCATTTTAGCGTTATAAAATAAATATTTTATAATAAACAACTTTTAATAACAGAGCAAAAAGATCAATATATAATATAACTTAAAAATATGATAACTCTCTTTAGTCTTTGTCTTTATGTATATGCTGCTTACTTTAATTTTCACAAAATAATTCAGCCCCACAATACTTTTATAAAACAAACAAGAACATCTTTAAGCTGGGACATTCAGGTATTAAAGAAGCTACCCGATTAAATTTTGAAAATCTTGGGTCATTCATCCAAGCCAACACAAGATTACCTGCAAGATATAAAGTTGGTTTTAACTTTTTAGTCTAAAATAAAACAAGCATTATATATTTCATATGATATACTAATTACTCAAATGGATTAGAGAAGTATACCTTTTGTAAAGAAGATAAAGGGACACATAAAGGAACCTACCATTAAAAAGTTTATATTAATCAAGCAGTCAATAAAATTTAATTAAAAAAATTTGTGAAATTCCTATATAAAAGTGTCTGTTTTTTAAAAATTAGAGGAGTTTAGTTAATAAAAAACAATTTTGATTGTATTTAAAAACATGCAAAAGGATTCACTATATGTATTCCTTGAAACCCATATGAAAATGTTGAAGCATTGTCTTTTGTAAATGTATGGCAAACCTGCATGGAATCTGTCTAAAAAATAATCTATTCGATTTTGGAACATTTCTTGATGTACTGTTTGCATAACAGTCAACACAATCCATTATTGTGAAAATTTATAAAGTAGGGAGATAGTGATGAAGTTGTGAGATTAGAATTTTACATCTCCAGACCTAAGAAACGGAAAACAAAATATCTTTCGAGAATAGTAAAACTTTTGAACCACAAAGAAAATAGAAATATTTGAGTTCAACAAAAAAACAGTATGTTCTATACTGATCCATAGATATAAAGTTTGTACAAATATCTCCATAATTTAAAATAGTAATAATTTGTGATAATAAAATGAGAGCTAGGATTTGAAAATTAAGATCTATTAACTTTGTGTATCATGCAATAATATATGAAAGTCTTTGTAATTTTGAATGCTTAAAAAATAAAAATTATTGTTAGATCTACAACTCAAAATAGAGATCTACAGACATAGATACTAAAGCGATAAAACCCATGTAAACCAAGAAACAAAATTATAAAAACAACTAAAAAAGAAAAACAGAGTAAGAAAAAAATAAAAAATTACATTTTCACATAGAACCTCCAAAATCAAGCCAATAAAGAACTCAAAAACTCATATAATTCGTATTCACTAAAACCTTTGTAGACTTCAATTTCGTATAGAATATGTAGAAAAGAAAAACATGCAAAAATGAAAAAAAAAATCCAAAAATAAGAAAACATTCATTAACGATCGACCTATACACGAAAGAGAACTCTGCTCTTCGATCAGTAATTGAAGACAGCTATGTGCAAGGAAGAATTATTTATAAAAAACATTCATATGATAGCCGAAATTGAATCAAAATCAAAACAATTATAGCCGAAATTAGAGAGCAAAAAAACAAGATAAAGAAAATGATTGAACCTCACATGATCCGACCCGAGAGAGAGATGCACCGATAGAGAGTGAAAGGCGGCGATTAATGATTAGGGCGTGAGCAACATATGCTCTTATTAGGCTTAGGCGGGTAAATTGGGTTGGGCGGGAGGTGAAAGTCTTTGCTCAGTTCCCTTCAACTTATTTTTTCTGATCTGATCTAATTTTATAAGTTCTAATCTGATCTGCTCTGATCTAATTGGATCTGATCTGATCTGGCCTGATCTGATTTGGTCTGATCTGATCTGATTTGATCTGATTAATTATGATTTGATTTAAAATTCAAATCAATAATTTGATTTGACTTTATAATAATGTTTGAAAATTGTAGTGATAATTCATATTTTAAGATAATCAATATTTTTTTATTTTATGAATATTTGTTAATAAAATAAAATTCATATATTAGAATAATGATTAATATTATAATTTAATAATATTTTGTACTTGTCAATGTAATAATATTAATATTTTTTGTGAAATTAGAATATTAATTTAATTTAGAAAATATAATGTAATAATATTTAATTTATATATACATTAAAAAGTAATTAAATTTAGATAATCAATATATATAAAAGATACTACTTTTATTAAAATATCACATCCTTACAAAAGATCAAAACTTTAGAAACTCAAATTAGAGGTAGCAATAAAAATGTATTTTAAAAGTAAAAGTTAGTTTGACATTGTCAATGTTTTTTAAAAATAATTTTTCCAACGTCTAATAATTAAAGATTACTTTCTCGATTTTCTATTTAACTTCTTTCTAACGTTTATTCTTTTTCATTTTAAAGAATAATAATAATAATAATAATAATAATAATAATAATAATTCTTGATGGGATCTGATCTGGTCTGATCTGATTGGATCTGATCTGATCTGGTCTGATCTGATCTGATTCGATCTGATCTGATCTAATTCGATCTGATTTGATCTGGTCTGATCTGGTTTTAATAAGAATAAGAAAAAATAAGAAAAAATAAGTTGAACGGAACGGGGCCTTAGTTTTAGATATGATTTCATATTTTATACTCCCTCCGTCTCAAAAAGTTTGTTACATTTAGAAAAAACTGCGTCCCGTAAAGTCCGTTACATTTCTATTAAAAAACCATTTTTACCCCATACTTTTTCATACCCTACCTATCACATCATACCTTTTTTCTAATAATCTACCCATCACATCCTACTTTTACCCATTACATCAAGGATATTTTTGAAAAGTCAATACCAAAATATCTCTCCCTTAATTTCCTAAAAAGTCAAACCGTCACATTCTTTTTGGGACGGAGGGAGTATATAATTGTACTACCTCCGTCCCATTTTAAATTGCATGTTTGCCTTTTTTCTCCGTCCCAAAGTAAGTTGCCTGTTAGTTGTTTTCGTAAACTTTTAAAAGTAAAATACCTAAACTACCTCTAAAATAAGTCACTTTTCTCCACTTTATCTTCTCATTCATCGTCATCCCTTCTAGAAAGTAAGTACTGACAATTTCGAAAAATCAACTCTATTTTTTCTTTTCCTTAAATATGCCCAAAAGTCAAAACATTCGATTAAAACTGGACGGAGGGAGTATAAATTAGTGGTTAAAGTGTTACACTAGAAATCATAAAAGTTTGACTGGGAACTTGGTTATGAAATGCAAGACAAATACAAAGTAACATATGCTCTTTATTTATAAATTATCTTCTAATTCACCATTTGCAAATTTAAATTATTTCCTTTTTTCTTTTTTTTTTTGTTATTAATTTCATAAAATAATATAATCATGTCATCTCTTGTTTCCTAATTTTTTTATATTAATTTTAAATATGTGATTTTACTTTAAAATTTCAAATCAATTTTCAAATAAAAATGAATTGAAAAAATTACAATAAAAAATATCATAACATGTAACGAGAAGATAATTTATAGTAGATGAAGGGAATACCTACCTTCAGGATCTTTCTTTTCATTTTAGTAGAACTCGGGGTATAATTTTTGGAAATTATTGCATATAAATACACTTTTGAAATTATAAACGACACTCTTAAGACTCAAATTGAGCTATTTACGAGGTTTAAGAGTCAAGTTTCTGCAAAGAAAATCATTAAAAAAAATTAAAATATGTGCTCACAACATTAAGCATAGTGTCACAAAAACGATTTCCTCACAATCAATTATTGTTAATTCATTTTATTTAAAATTAATGTAGAAATAAGAAACAATATTTTCCTCCATCTATTCCACCAGAAAAAAAAGTGCCTATGAAATTATTAATAGCTGTGTGTACATTTCAAGACGCTTAAAAGGAGAAAGTGAGTAAGAAATTGATATAAGACCACCTCCAACAGAGTTGCAACCCACACGCAAACCAAAAGACAAATGGGTAATACTAAAAACACATCATCCATGTATGACAGTACAGATGATTTTATAACTATACATGTTGTTTGCAAATAATTATCGTCTGTATGTATAAAATTATTTGTATTGTCATGGAGACAGGGTGGGAGCACTCTAGCACGGTCCAAGACAAGAGTTTTTTTTCCTCCAAACGCATATATAGTTGGTAAGCTTTCTGCATTCATTTTTATCTTGTACGGAGTATATGTTTATTGACTCTAGGGGTTTGCTTTGAATTTTGTAGCTTCAATTATTTATGTAATTTCTTATTCAACATCTAGTTTTAATCTGTAAAGTATATAAGTAGTGAGAAAAGAACATGTATGAATATTTTTTTGAGTTTGATTTTATTGTAATGGTTGCTGATAAATTACTATTTGATTCGATATGTACTAATCCGTACATTTTAAGTTTGAATTTGATGTAGATGATTGATTATAGTCTAAGGGTATCAAAGTTTTACCCTAATCAATATAAGGTGTAAATAATTCTCCAATTTTTCAGAGATGAAAAAACATACGGTATTAAAAAAAAAGTACTCCCTATTTAGAGAGTTCAATAAAAATAATTATAATATGATATTAACCGATGATATTGCTATAAAATAGAAGCACCAAAATTTCTATAAATAGTGAAATTTCAAACCTTGGGTATACCTACACTCCTTGCTTCTAATATCTCCCAAAAATGGGAAAAAGCAGAAACGTGTTATACATCGTTTCTCACTATGGCCTCGTTTGAAATTAGCATTTTGGATAAATTTTTTTAGAGTAAGCAACGACATTGAATAACTTTTTTTCAAAAAACGCAGAAGTCGTTGCCAAACGGACCCTACATGTCCAGAAGAAAAGAAGGTACGATCAAAAATTAATTTCACATACCATTGGGGTTTGTATGGAGCAGCCCGGCCGCCACGGCGATAATCTAAACCAGCTTCTTCTCAGTGCTTGCGGCAGCGCGCCTTTGTTTGGGCTTCCACGCGGGCATCTTCCCGGGGAAGGCCCATCTCAAGAACCGTTCCCACGAGTAGCAGCCCAAGAACATGACGACGGCCCATATCAACAGCTTGTCCCTCAATCCCATTGGCAATGGGACCAGCTTCAACCAGTCATTCAAGCCCCTGAACAGGTCAGATGTTATGACAGTGAAAAACCCAACAGCCGCCAAGAGGGCATACAAGAAGGGCTTGTTCTCCGATATGCTCTGGTTGAAAGGCCGGCCCATGTAGTTCACGGCGAAGGTGGCGACCTGTAGCATCATGCCCACCATGTAAGAGACGGTGTTGACGAGGTTGGGGTGGAAGTCGGAGTCCGGCTCGATGCATTCCTCCGGCATGTACTTGGCGGCCTCGTTGACGGAGGAGACGAGGAAGAGGATGTGGGCGGCGAACTGGCCGAGGAGGGAGAGGAAGACGTAGGCGCAGAAGATGTTGGGGTGGGGCCGCTCCGGGGAGAGGTGTTGGATGGGGCGGGCGTGGGAGATGAAGAGGAAGAAGGCGGCGGTGAAGACGCCGCTGATGGTGGCCTGGACGTCGCCAAGCTTGACGCCATCCAGGTACATCACGCTCAGCACGTAGGCGGTGGCGAGGCAGTTGAGGCCGAGGATCTTGAACATCTGGAGGGTGGTCACGAGGGTGCTCCGCCCTTGCCGGATTATGTCCGTGGTGGGGCCCACCGAGGCGTGCTTCGCCGTGAAGGGGGACGCCATCGAGGCGTCCCCGAGCTTGACGATGGGCGCTTGGCCGTCGCCGCCGCCCTCGTTCAGTTCTTCCATGATTTTCTTCAGCTTCTCGCGTTGCGCCTCGGCTGGGGTGAGGTGGCGGGCTTGGCCAGATGCTGACATCGACGTAGCTCGGCGTTTCGTGGCGCTGTCTCCGTTTTCAACTGCAGGCTTGACTTTCTTTGACTTGGGAACAGTTCTTGAGGTTTCAGCTTTAGATGATCCACCAGATGCAGATTTCTCAGTCTTGGAGGGAGGAACAATTGCATTCAGCAAAGCCACTCCAACATGTGCCTAAAGGAAATGAATCACACATTCAAATTGCAATCAAGAGGCTACATAGTAACAAAAAAATATTTATTTATTTTTTGGGGGAAGTAAGGGCGTCGTTTGATCCATGTAGCCGACCCCACCTAGTCGGATAAGGCTTGGTTGTTGTATCTTTTTTTTTTGGGGGGGAGTGACTTGGCAATAAAAAGGATGTAAAAAGAGGCTCCAACATTATCACTAGTGCTCCAATAATTTAAATATTTTTGCGCGAATACTTCTAGGATTACAAATTCATCACAGATACGCCTCAAATATCGTGGATCCATGTAAAATGAAAAATTTCTTGGAGTATGATTTTAATAATATTGAATTTTTGGGGCCGCTAATCATTCTTGTAAAATCTCAAATTTCTGGAAGTATTCACATGAATTTTTCCAAAAAATAAGCACTGCACTGCAACTCAGCATGTAATTGCATTGAAAAATAAAATGGAAAGCTGAGAGACCATATAATTTTTTTTACTCCTAATATGTGGTGGTACTGTTTTAAGAACAGCATTGACGACTCGAGACTTCAATTTGGCAGACCCGCTTATAAAGCAAACTGCTATAAGCCAAAAGATAAAAGCTTTTAGTAAAAGCTAGAGGTTTAGCTAATATTCATATAAAGAAGACATGAAATGATTTATTTAATCTTTTAACACAATACTGGTTGAATGTGTTGTTTTGTAAAATCACAAGGTTAATTAAAAAAAACCTACAAGTTTGAAGAATAAATACCTGTTTCAAAGCCCCAACGTCGTTAGTTCCATCACCACACATAAGTGCAATCCTTCCCACAGACTTAAAAGTGGTCATAATAAGTTCCTTTTGCTCTGGGGCAACCCTGGCAAAAACCTGGAAAGCAACAGCATACNTTAACCAAATAAAACACACAAAAAAAAAAGATCAAGCATGAACCAAGATACACACACACACACACACACACACAGAGAGAGAGAGAGAGAGAGAGATGTGTGGGGGGGGGGGGGTGAAGCATTGTTTTCATTAATTACAACCTTGACATATGGAATAACTTTAAGAGTAGCTGATGTCTGCTGCAACATCTCAACACAATCACCTCCAATACAAAGATCATAAGTCTCAGAGAGTGCTTCAACTTCATTTTCACTATTGAATGAACATAATGAATAAATTCAATAGGGGGAAAAACCAACAAAAGAGATATGGAACATACCTATACATAGAAATAGGTTTCCCAAATGTTTCCTTTTAAAGTCTTAAGGTACGATCAGAACAAATTATGGATGACAGAGCAGTCATCATATACTACATAAAAAAGTTGCAACCATAAGGCCCAAAGGCCCACTATATAACTGTTATCTCTTAGAAGACGCTACTCCCTTCATCCCATATTTCTCTTCTTCTAAGGACTTGCATATTTGAGAGAGAAATAATATGAACCGCAAAATCCTTTCCTTAGAACAACCCAAAAGAATCCCAAGTCTGTAGGCCCTAGATGCATTGCTGCATTCACTGCCTAAAACTTCATAGAAAGTAAGAAGCAAGGGAAGTTTAATTTGCCATTTTGATTAAGTCCATTATGTGCCCGAAACTAAAACATTGTAAATAATGACTCTTTTAGCATCTTTGGCAATGGGACATCCCTAAAAGAAAAATATGAAATAGAGTACCACATCGTGTGGTTCAAGAAGGGGAGTGGAAAAAATGAAAGAGTTGCAAAATTAGATTGGTTCAATTAGGGACTGAGAAATTATGTAAACGTATAATATGTTACTCCGTATATGATTCTTAATTTCTTATTATAATTAGAAAATATAGTAATAATTTGTACTCCATCCGTCTAAAAAATTGCTTAAGACTTTTTCTTAATGGACACCCCAAAAAAACAATTAAAATTTTATTTCTTTTTTAGTAATGAATATGTGACTCACAATATTTCTCTCTCATCTAAACAAATTTTAACCACACACTTTCTACTTTTCAACACTTTTCTTAAGCTCCATGAAAGACAAATTGTAAAACCTTTGTTGGGACAAAGGGAGTATATGTTATATGATTCTTGTGCACAACAATAATGTGGAACGATTTTGATTATACAACTACAACAAAACCCAATATTGACCCAACTTCATTTGGGTCTTGGGTTTAAGATGTACACAACCTTACCACCTTAAAAAAATAAAAAAATAAAAAAACTTGTTTCTGCTAGACCCTTGATGCATCAATGCATTTACTGCCCAAAATCTCATTGAAAGTGAGGCAAAACTGCTTGATGTGCCACTTTGATGTCAACCATTATTTGCCCAAAGCTAAAACATTGTTCAAAAAATAGTTTGGCTCTATTGAAAATGGATGCAACTTGGGATTAGAAAACGGTGAAAAGAAATCAAGGGATGAGACAACCAATCCAAATTCTCCCAAATGGGGGAAATGTGATACGAGAAGTTTGGAGTGTGTAGTTCCTCCACTTTTATCTCCCCTTCCCCTCAGGACCCCCCCCCCACACACACACACACACTTTAACTTTCATCTCCTTCCCTCCAACGTTCTCCAGGAAGATGATTAGGATATTTAAGTATTTGTACTTGTACCTGTAACTAACTGTCTCAGTCTCATCAGGTGAGACCCAGACATACTTGTCACAATTCTTTGCAAGGCCGAGAATCATGGCAGGTTTGGAAATGATGTGAACTTGACTAGCTACATGACAAGCTGTTAAGGCTTGATCGCCGGTAATCATTACCTACAAATATTCCAAGGAGATAAGTGTTTTCATCAAACCCCAACATTGCATAAGAGACAAAGATTCACATCAAGAGTAATCTGATATAATCAGTATATATATACCAAATCATGTGATGATTGTTTCAACTCAGACAATACAGTGGCTGAATCTCCTCTGATCGGGCAATTAAATACCTGAAGTAGAAGATTGAATTTTAAGTTATGCATAAATTATGCATGCATAGCACTACAGCAGAGTACATAAATGGAGATTGGGTTACCGCAAAGCCAGCAAAAGTCAGGCCACTTTCCACAGTATCTCTCTCCAGGCTTCTAGCTTCACTAACCTTCAGCAAGATAAAAAATATAACAAAAACTTTACAAATATAATAGAGGTTAAACGAAAAAAGAGATAGGAGTCAAACTGTAAATCGGCACCAAAGCATACACACACACATCAGCACAACATTATAGGGTCGTCTGGTTGGTGCAGTATTCTAGTACACCCATAATCCAACACTATTGATAATCCTATACAGTTATACCACCATTTGGTTCAACAATTATGGTCCGTAATCTGCTATGTGTAGTCAAACATTACTGAACATGAGGCATAATAATGAAAAAATGTTAGCCAAATTACACCCATTGCACCAGCTACCTTGTTTTTGTCATTAATTCCAAATGCGGCCATAAACATACTCTTTCCATCCCACTAAGTTCGGGACAAGGGAAAGTAGCACACCGATTAAGTGGAATTGTGTTGTTGATACTGAATGTGTAAAAGTATAGATGATTTCAAATCACACAAATATGGCCAAATATTAATTTAATTAATATTGGCGGATCATGTGAGTATTTTTTAGTTCCTGGTAAAAGGAGCCACCCTTAAGTGAACACCTCAAAGAAGGAGGTCAAGATCTTGAGCTTGTAAACAAGATAAGAGGACCAGGCCCTCTTGAAATGCCAAACTTCGTAAAAAGAGTTCAGCCATACCTATTGCTTTAATCCCATGGTCTAGCTATTGCCTTCATATAAACCCAAAAAGTGTGGTTCAGACGTAAATCTTATTAAAGGTCAGCACTGTTTCTCCAGAATCAATAGGTACATGCTTCTAACCCATATATCAGTTAAATGAGGATATGGGGTCTTACTGTCATCTCTGGTAGAGATTTGAAAGCCAGGGCCAACACTCGAGATCCTTGACGTGTATATTTCTTGTAAGTAGGGACATAAAATTGGGGCACTTCAACCAATCTCTCCTGAATTGTTTCTGGTGCACCCTGGAAACCATTTGGAGGAAAACTTATCATTGATAGCAATATAGCATAACCACATTCAGGCAAGTAGGCAACAAATAGAAGGGTTTTTCTACACCTTATTGTGCCCACACCCCACCAATTTTGTGGCGATGCATGTTGGAAAGAATAAGTTCAGCTACTATGGTATTACATTTTTTTGTTTTAATTGGAAAGATTCAATATATTCAAAGCATATGTACATGATCCAATGCATAAAAAACTTTTCAAATGCAGATTAAGAATATTAATTTATAAAAACTATAAAGAATAAAATCATGTTTATTTGTAACTGATTGGGAAGGTTGCAAGTAAAAAAAGCATCAAGCAGTATCAGGCGAGAACACAAGAAACTTATGATGATATGAATTCCTGATTCCGACTAATATGATAAGTTAGGGGAAGAAAAAGAAGAGATATTGAAGTTTTATACACTGTGACAAGTAGTTTGTAAAGTGATAACAAATGCATTGAGTAAATCATTTTATTGAAAAGTGAACATCTTTTTCATCTTAAAAATAAACTAGACTAAGATATCTCTGATGATTTTTTCACTAAGAACTAGTTATCAACAAAATCTATCTAATTCTGCTCCTGTTCAACTAAAGGACTGTCTTCAAGCTCACTCCACCCCCCTGCTTTTTTAGGAAAAAATGATTACATAACAATTAATAAATACTCCCTCTTTTCCAAAACAAAAGTAAAACTTCCCTTTTTGGGTGGCCCCAAAATAAAGTTTGTGCTTCCTTTCTTTTTAAGAAAATGAATATGCAGAGTGTATGTATGCACGTGTACAATCATCATCATCATTGTTAGTATTATTATTATAAAAATAAAAAATGCATACATGTTACAGACCTTTACAAAAGCAAAATATTGTTCCTGAACACAAACAACCGCTGACATCCTTTTCAAGTGAGATGCAAAATGGTGCCTATGCACAATTTGAACAGCCTCACCTCCACCCCTGCATAAGACCAGTAGTACACTCTAAGAGATGAAGATAATAATGCTCACACAGTCACACTAAAGACTACCCGGAAATATTAAAAACTAGCCAGTAAAAAAAAGCTAGAGTCCAGGCAAATGGTAAAATTTTTGAACCTATTTCAAACATGAGTTATATAAATAAGTCTGCAAATTTTGAAGCTCCGAGCATTGATAACAAATAAAATGAGCAAATTAGATCATCTTCCCATATCGTTTTATCATCGGTATTAAGTTCAAATACTTTCCTAAATAAAAACCTAAAGTTAAAGGATATGGTTTGTATAGTATCAATAGACATTCCCAACATGCATCCAATGATACAAACGCATAATACAAAAGATACAAGAAAGGCAGAGATAATGAGATCGAATATGAAAAACCACTGGTTTATCCAAGTAACCTAACACATGTCGTTTTGATAATTCAAGATAAAGCTTACTTTCTTGGCATGGCCTTTTCATCTGATTTATATGACCAATCAATCCCCTTAAGTGCAGCTTTCTCTAGAGGATCGCCAACCTACATTATCCACAAGGAAAAGAATTATTCATAGGAAATAATGAAGAAATACACTTATAAGTGCCCCCTAACAACTAAATCGCAAAAAAACATACGTAGTGCGCTGAAAACAACCTCCCTTCAATGCTCTTTCATTCTTTGTTGCAGACTTGCAGCCATTCAAGCAAGACGAACAGAAAACAAAACTAGCTGAAGGCTTGATGCTTTATGGATATATTAATGGTAATAAATTACGGATTGCATATTCAGGTTCTTAAGACGCAGAGAACTTTTTCCCCTTCTATATGTGGAACTTAGTTTAGAAAGCCAAACAATAGAATTAAAGGACTCAAAAATGGAGAGATGTGCTAATTGCAGAGCGCCATAATGAACCAGCATCCTAAGGACTTTCTCTACTTACTGTAGGCCTGGTACATCATAACTCATAAAAAACAAACAGAATGATCTACACCATCCACTGGCAGGTAAACAATGCACCCATAGTGTCGAGTTTCATTGTTTTATGATGTGGGAACCTATGCCTTGGCCAGCAATGAATTATAACCCTGGAGTGCCTACACCTATAAAAGAATAAAAAGGTTCCAAAGATAAATCCCAATAAATATTACTTCTTACCAACTTATTATCCACAAAAACTAATGCATGGCAAGAGGCAAGAATTTCCAAGGCTCGCAATGGGACTTTACTCATATCTCTTTCCAATTCTTCACTATCTGTCAACCCAACAACTCCAGAGAACTCCTGAAAGATGAAACATAGAAAAAAATGTAAAAAGTGCAACGTCCGAAAAGTGAGTTAATATTGCCTGATTGCCAGATCCATACCATGTCATCCGATGTCAATGTCCCAGTCTTATCAAAACAACATAAATCAACCTGCAGAAGAAACCAATCTATAATGAAATATGCAAAAGAGAAAGGAGTCTAGTACATACTCTTTACAAAAACCATATTCATAAAGAAAGTAATAAAAGTACTATTCCATCTATTATTTCACATAGTTCAGAAATCCTGGTCTGAAAATACAAATGGAGAAATCCACTCTCAGGATCTGTTTTGTCCGTTGACCATAGTTTGTAAGGCGGCAAGGCGAGGCGAGGCGCCAATGTACCTTCTTATTGCCTAGGCGACTAGGCGCACGCCTAGGCGACATACATACATACCTACATATATACACACACACACACACATACATATATAAGTCTTATACATTTTAAAGAAGCTTGGTCGAGAAAGAGAAGACCGAGAGAGAAGATAAGTTTAAGTCTATTAGGCTACACTAAGAGAAAATGGGCTGCACTAAAAATGGGTTTTTTCAAAATTTTAAAGGGGCCCAAGGAATCAAGGCGAGGTAAGACGAGTTAAGGCAACGCCTAGGCGAGCGCCTTATCGCCTTAAGGTTTTCTAGGCGAGGCGAGCAGTCAAGGCGTCCTAGTGACAGCGCCTTATCGCCTAGGCGACGCCTTACAAACTATGCCGTTGACTCCGTTCTATCCTCAGATTCCATCAAGTGGAAGAAGAGTGGTGAGAAGAGGAAAAAAATTGAACTGCCTTAACAGTGTAAAAGCAGCGTCAGCTGTATATATAAAAAGTCATTCTCTTACAAGTAGTCAAACACAATAATGGGTAAATGGGCATTATAGGTCAGCCCCATATCCACATAGGTTGGAGCAGTAATCAAATAGCCATACATAAATGAGTTTGGTTGTGCATTTAAACAATTTTGAACCAAATGAATCATCAAATGCTTGCAGACTAGATAAATGGAAATGTGGCACGCAAATGTTGCATTGATAAATAGCAAAAGGAAAGTGGGATACATTAATTCTATGATGTTCAGAAATGTGACGAGTGAGCAATAACTATAATAGCACCCATTGAATCCTTGAAAATGTAAAAGTACCTTCCCAGCAAACGGGATTCGGAACGGCTCAGTGCAGAATATCCCGTGGCGTGCTAATGCAATCAAAGATGTATTAACAGCTATTGATAACTCCATTGGTAACTCAGGGGGGATGACTGATGTAATAATCAAGGAACAACTGAGAGCCAGCTTGTATCTACTTCTTGTTGGGTCCTCAAGTCCCTGCATAAGAACCCAATATCACACACACTAATTTAAGGCCCGTTTGGAAACCTAGAAAATGGTCTATGGAAAACGAGTTCTGGAAAATAAGTTATTTTCATGAAATCATTTTCCATGTGTGGTGTTTGCCTGATAGTCTGAAAACTATATATTTTTGTTTGGTTCATTTTCAGGAAAATGAATATCCAAAAAATAAAAATAAAAAGAATATTCTTCTTCATGCATGCACAACAGATCAACCATCGTCTCCTATTGAAAAAATATATTTAAAAAATTCTGAAAAAATATACGGAGTAAGTGGAGAAGCTTCAGATCCATCAATTTCCGGCGAATGAGGGTCAAACAAGTGACGGCAAAGGCGAAAACCTAGACTCACGAAGGAAGAAGCGAGCAAAAAGGAGAAATAGGAACGAAAGGAAGAAGAAAGAACGAAGGAGAAATTGCTCCGGAAATTTTCTTCCGGAATTGCAAAGCGGAAGTCAAAATCCAAAATTTCACCCTCATTTTCCATTGAACAATAAGTTAATTTCCGTTGACCATGCAATTTCTAACTTCCCAAACAAAGGAAAATGAGGAAAATGACTTCCAAAAGTCATTTTCCTCTACAAATGAACCCTAACATTAAATTTTCAACATCACAGAAGTTCCATATTTATTAATTTATGTTGTGGGCCGGTGGCTTAACCTCATCTAGAAGCATAAGCTATGAGTCTTATGACAGAAAATATCACACACAGACTTCACTTTAATCTCCGCAAAACTTGAAAAACTATGTTTTCCTCTCTAATGGTTTATGAACACACTAAGATATGTTACCTTTAGAAGAACATAGCCAGCAGCAATCAGTGCAAATACAACCAAAAAGAGAATGAATAGTCCACTTTCCCAGCTGTTAGCAGTAACCTATAACACAGTTTTGCATCATTAAAAAACTATCCAATGTATGCATAGCCTTGAGCCACCTTTGTTTTTAACAGATTACCCGCTCAGTGGAAAATAGAATAGTACGCATCAATTTTCCTTGGCTAGTCTCAAACCCAGTTCGTAGAACAACTGCCAAGCAACCACCATCGGGGGTCTTTATGTGATATGTCTGCTCATACAAGTACCAAAAAGATGAATATGTGTAATGAATTGCAAAAAAACTTGGTAAAACATGATAAAAAACAATGACCTTATCTGGTGTGTGCTGCAAAATCTTTGTTCCCCCAAAAAGGACATGAGCTTTATCTCGTCTAGCTGATAATCTCTCACCAGATCCTCTACCCATGATTGAAACCTGAAATCAGCATAGGAAAAATTTATTATGAAAATTAATAACAAATGATGAAATGAACTTTACACTGGATATATCTGTCACCAACATTCTTGTGCAAACATGACACTTGAGAAATTTAAGGACCCCAAAGGAGAAAAAACTAATAGCAATAACAATTCATAAACTCAACTAACTTTATAAGAAGTATCCTTTATAGCCACCATGTGTAAGGTTCTTACCTATGCGCATTTTGGTTAATATATCATGTACTCATTGCTCATCATGCAACATACCCAGTATAATTGTAACTCCGTCAGGGTCTCAGGGGTCAAGATGTATGCTACCTTAAGGCCTTACCCATGTTTACAAAGAGGTTGTTTCCATTAGACAATTGATGCATTTCAGTTAATATATCATGTACTCATTACTCATCATGCAACATACCCAGTATAATTGTAACTCCGCCGGGGTCTAGGAGGTCAAGATGTATGCTACCTTACGGCCTTACCCATGTTTACAAAGAGGTTTCCGTGAGACCATTGATGCATTCACTGCCCAAAACTTCATAGAAAGTAAGAAGCTAGGAAAGTTTAATGTGTCGTTTTGATTTTGCCCGTAATTTACGCAGGCTAAAACATTGTCAAATTGACTCTTTAGCTACATTGGCCATGAACCACCCATTGGTGCACTGCTAAGAATTCTATTTAAAATTTTAAATGACTTACAATTGTCTTCTTGCAACCAGATAATGAAGTAAGTGCTATAAAAATGTATTGCACCACCTTGGTCAAAATGTACTCATGGAATATAGCATTCTTGCTGCCCATAGAAATCAATTCAAATGAAACATGAAACTAACCTTCCACTGGGGAGTCGATTCACCAGTAAGTATAGCCTCATTCACAATAGCACTTCCAGCTAGCAAAAGCATGTCAGCTGGCACATTCTTGTCTTCTCCAGTTTGACCAACAGAACGACCAATAGACACCAAATCTCCGGGCAGTAGGTCGGTTCCAGATAATTTTACCCACCTAAAATAAAAACTCTCAGGGTGTGTTTACTTATTTTACAGTTTATGTGCCAGGTTTACATAGGATTCATGTTTTTATTGTCTGACCCCAAACTCATCTTTCCTTAGTTGGTTAACGTCTCGTTTCACCTTACTATCCTCATTTTATATCCCAACAATTATTAACAACCACAACTTACAAGGACATTATTGGAAGTCAAAGACAAATATTAAATTCATTAACAATCCCGAAGTCAAATTAGGAACTTCTATTAGGGATGGATCATGATTAGGGAGTGAGTGTTATGTTTTCAAATGGAAAAATGTTCTCCGTCTTCCAAAAGAGTGAAAGGTGTTCAAAAACTCTACCAATTAGAAATTAATGATGAGCCGTGCTGCCATGGTTCACTGTGTTTTTCAGTTGAGCATCACTCTCTTTTTTCATTCTTCCATTTGAATAGCGTAATATAAAGAATTAGAGAAAAGTCATAAAATATGATGGAAAGTTGAAGAAATTTTTGTAACATAATAGTTCCTTGTTATATAGGATAAACCTGTTTGTATTTCCAATATCTCATAAACATTATATAATAAATACTATACAGCAACAACAAACTGAAGAGAACCAGTAACATACTTGCCACAACGATGCGCCATCAAAGTCTCGCTTTCAACTCTCACACGTCTAAGCTCAGAGAGTGTCTTTAAACGGCTCTTGGCCATTGTTGATTCAAACATAAACAGCATAAATAAGGTGAACAAACTATAGTACCAGTATTCATCCAAACACCACAAACCAACACAAAAGACCTGCATATGAAAAGATGATGAGCACTAGTGCACTACCAAAAAGCGTAATAAATAAAATAAAAAATGAATACTTTAATAGTTCAATAAAGCAAAATGGAGAAATGGCCATAAACCATAGCAAACCTGGAATACAAAAAAAGGCTCAATGCATTGTTCTTTCATTAATTTCTGAAATGTGGGCTGAGGATATTCAAATCTACAGTCAGAAAAGCAAGATTATGATTCATTAGCAGAAAGAAACTAAGACGGTGCAAAAACTACAAATCTGACATAAATAACAAATGTTTGCATATCATTGCTAGAAACGTAAACAGGACCTAAAAAAGTGACTATTGCAATCACAAGAAAAATACCAAGCACAAGTGGCTAATGCTACATTTTTCTAAAGTGATCACTTCCAACAACAACAACAACAACAACCCAGTAGAATCCCAAGAAAGTAGGGTCTGGGTTGTTGTTGATGTTGTTGACAGTGATCACTTCAGAAAGATGTAGCATTAGCCACTTGTGCTCATACATTTTCTTGTGCTTGCAATTGTCACCATTTTTTGCTCTTGTTCACATTTCTAAATTGAAGTTATCAGTGCCAATGTAGAAAAACTAAATACCAGAAAACATATCTGAAATTTATATTATTCAAACTTCAATTTTCTGCTTTTCTTTTTGTAGAGCATATACTTTATCTAAAATTGAATGGAGAGAAAAAAAGTAGCCACTTCTAAAGCAGCTCAATGTTGATTCTACAAAAACATTTGCATGGGCTTTCACCTAGCAGCAGATAACATAAATGTTGGATTAAGAAGTTTCAATACAACAAAAAGAGTTGACTACTTAATTTCAAAAGAAGCCAACTAGAAAATGAAATCATAAACATCAGGTAGTCTAAGCAAAGTCAATAGCATATTGGTTCTCTTTTTCATTGGGTCTTCACTCTTTCTTTATATGAATTGAATTATATCATTTTTCCAAGTTCAGGGGTTTTTTAATCTTGGAAAAATGCTCAGGTTTTTTTCAAGCTGAGGGATTCTATGCTTAGGGGTTTTTTCATCGCCTTCATTTTTCCAAGTTGAGGGGTTCTTAAGGAATATAAGAGATGTATTCAGGAGATTAGTTCTCCCTAAGCATTCTTATATAAGAAAAATATATGTAACAAACTAAACAGCTAGTCATAGACAAAGATGACTTACACATTCCGGCCCCATTTTTCAGTAGCAGCAATAACTTTAGCTTCGGATCCAAGTCCAGTGTTCTTAAGATAGTATCCAAATAATTCCTTGGAAGGATAGGGAAGCTTACAAAATGTTTCCTTCTCAATTGAATAGATAAACTGTTGCTTCCTGAAATCAAAATAAATCTCTTCCCCATCTTTAGAGGATGCAGATGACAGCTGCAGAAGTAAAGGATTATATTAAATGCTAAGCAAGTTTTGACTTCTCGGGGTCACCACATTGCCACAAATATAAGTCCAGTTGATACTTGATACTTATCACATTGACACCCTCTAAACGCAATATCAGATATTCAGGCATCAATTTTATTCAAACAGACCTTAAATCATTTAGCATGTTCTATATTGAAGAGAGAAACTATCGAACACTCAAACAATACAAACAAAAAATAGAAACTAAGGGACATTTACTATTAAGTTAGACTGCATGCAAATGAACATGGGGGTTGTGTGTGTACGCCGTACGAGCATGTGTGTATCTATGTATGTTTGTAGAGAATTAAACTGGTTAGCACTTGCAGAACATATGCATAAATTCTTGGAATACCAAAGACATAACTGATAAAATGACCCTGTTTAGAAAAAAAACAAGATCGGTCACTAAGAAATAACCAATAGCACCGAATTAAATAAATAACTAAAAATCCAACAGATTAAGGTTTTCTTGATCATGACATGAAAGTATGAAACACTCTTAATCGTTGCACGAATAGAATTTCAAGCAAATGCCTCAGCTTGGCATCGAATAATAGACAGTTTGACTAGTACGAGAACAATAATTAATCAAACATGATGTCAAAGCATCGACTGTTAGGCTCCATTAAAATGCTACCCGTGACTTCCATGTGCACAACTATGCCTCATTAATTACTCATTGGCCAGTAGGGATGGAAAAAATAATAAAACAAATGATCTTAGTATCCTTAGATGGTGTTGCAGATCATAATGTATTAATGACACTTCAAATAATGAAAAGAAAACAGAAAGAATTGTTTTTTATTTTTCTCCACGGTTCTTTTGGCCTTGAAACTTACCAACAGAGCACCATAGGTGCCCCAAAATGCCCAGGTCATTCTTTCTAGGGTCAAAAGTGCCTTGCCGTGTATTTTTTTGATGTTTTGTATCGCCATAGAACTTGATGTAGTAGGGATAAAGGTTTTTTTCTATAGAAAAAATAGGGACAATGAAGATAATTCAGAAGAGTTGTTGAAACTAGAAAAGTCCAAGTATAAAAATTCACAAAGTTTTACTATGTGTCCGGATGAATTAATTCCCTAGTGTTCCCTCAACTCCAGTGTCAGTTTATATTACACTCTAAAAGTTAGACCACATTCGCTGCTCAACTATTGTGATAATGCCAATTAGTGGCAATTCAAGTCCTGTGACACTAATTCAATCCAAATAAAAAAACACAAAGAGGTGGCTACAATTGTATAGAATTCCAGCGAGAGGGTAATATTTTTTTGTAAATTTCTTTTATATTAACAGGAAACTCAATATGGCCATTTTCAAGGTCAATAAATATGTAATTTCTATAATCATCCAGGGACTAACAATAGAACTAAATATTTGCTAATAAGTAGGTTATTTTTTAACAAAGGTAACAGTATTACATGCATAGTGTAACAAATAAAGTGATAAACACCTTTAAGTGTCCTTGATTTCATGTATGATTTTTCAAAGTACAAACCTTTCTAAAGTATAGAGGCACAACTTCTTTAGAGCCACAGAATTTTGCTGGAGTAATTTTGCAGGCATCGGCAAGATGAATATCACACACCTGACACAAAAAGATTCATCATATTATACGTTGACTTCTAACCATTGTACTTAAAATATTAAGATTTTGATTCAATTGAAGAACATTGTAAACCATTAAAAGTTACGAGCAATGCGACCATACAGGCACAGGTGTCTGTTGAAAACTAATTCACTAAAACCTGAAAACAAAGAAGCTAATGACAGGTTGTTTTGGAAATTGGAAACAGGAACCATTCAGTTTAACAGAATAGTACTCCAGGAAATATACGAGAAAAGAGAGTGAGACAGTGGTCAATTGCCAGCAAAATCTATCTCCAAGACCCAATGTCCCAATCTCTAGTCCAGTGGCCAATTATGAACTTCAAACAAAGGTAGTGTTCCAACTTCCATATATAGAAACTGCATATGCCATATTCTTTCACTTGAAAATCAAAAAGTGGAGAGTAAGCCATGTGATGACCTAGAAGAACCGTACCAAGTTTAGTTTACTGTGTTCACTAGTGCACTCTCCAAAAAGAAGAACGAAGAAAAGCAGCTTAAGATTAAAAAAAGTTGAGACTTGAAGTATGAATAATAGCTTTGAAAACCAAATTGGACTGAGAAATCCACCCTGTTCATCAGACACGTTCTGACATCTGGTCTGGTTAACCCAAAAAAACATGTGGGTTTCAGTTAAGGTGGTAAAGAACAGGTTGATCATGTCAAAGCCAGTTAAACTCGGATTTTTGAACAGTTATTTTTATTCTTAAATGGAAAAGAGTTTTAAACATGAGCCCATATAGTTATAATAATTTATACACAAGAACGTTTACTAATTATTTTTTAAATTTTTCTTATATCTTACAAATACAACATAAGTCAACCTGCAGAAGGAACCGCTCTATATTCAACTATACAAAAGAGAAAGGAGTCTAATGCAAAAGAGCAGGTTGTGATTTTGTAGCACGTTAGGGTCTCACAGGCCTTTGAATACATCTTCTTGACAGCTAGTCAACTAGAAAGTCATGCTTGAAAACACCTTTGTGACAGGAAACTAAATTACAACCAGCATCAATCAAGGCATGGAATATATGCAAGGAAGTGATTGTGGCCATTGTCATTGTGAGAATTAAGTGAAGTGAATAGCATTGGAACACAGTAGGGGCCATCTATAGCATAAACTTAAGCTTTTAAAGGTCATTGAAGGGAGGGGATTTAACGCTTCTCATGCAGCTTATTTCTAAATCCTAAAGCTGGAAGGACCCAAACACTCCCACACGAAGATTACACTAAATGATCAAATACCAACGATGGAAGATGGTTGGGTTTCACGTGAATCACGTGAAAAAAATTTAAAAAAGCACTCATCTTTCTCGTCACCGCATAAATCTAATAATAGTATCAAAAACCAAGATGGTAGAATTCTAACAAAAAATTGAAGTATATCCATCCAGCTAAATTATATGTTTATTCAGTTCAATTGTTCCCCAAAACTTTGCCAACATTCTTTCCATGACAATCTTTATCAAAAAATGGCATTGAAGGCAATGTTAAGCATAAAAACAATCAATCTTTCACCCTCATGGCTTCACAAGTTACTCCACAAATTTTCATTAGAAGCAGTTGCAGCAGTAAGCATAGAATCTATCAAGATAATAAAGAAAAAACCAGAAATACTAAGCCATTGCCCTCAAGGTGTTCAGATTAACAAGAAATTTCGAATTAAAAGTACTAGAAAATGAAACAACTTCATCAACCAATTATTTTAACTTGTTCAAAGATCCCTGCACTTTTTGATCAATTGCAGACATAGAAGATAGAAATAAGGGACATCCATTGAGCGAGTAGAGAAAAAAACCCGAACCTTTGAATACTTAACAAAGCATTTGAAATCGACGGACCAGAGAGTGAAGAGGAAGACGAGAATATGGGAAACTGCTATGACGCCGAGAACTATACAGGCGTCCACAAAATCCAAGCTAGGAACGACGGCTGCCAGCCAGAGCACATATAAAGCCACGAAGGGCCAGAGGTCGAGACGCCACAACTGGTGCCTCTTCCTCAGCAAATCCACACTGTCCACCACTTTCCCGCCGACCTGAAACCTCGTCATATCTTCCGGCGACGAAATATACACTTTATCAGGCCAGGAGATATTCTACTACTCAAACCGTCAGAGCAGAGGAAACCATCTGATCGGTTTGTGTCCGGAGAGCAATAGGAAAACCTGATTCGAGAAGACGGGGTTGGGAGGGGTGATTATTGCTGGGCTGGGCATAGAAAAGAAAGCAAAATGGGAGAGATTATGAGTAATATATTTTGAGGATATATTTAATTTTACATAGAATAATCAATATTTTATTATATTTTAATAAATTTTTTCAATTTTATGTTAAGTAAATATAATTTTAGCTGTTATAAAAAACTATGGAATGTTAATTTATTTATATTTGCATCACAAAAAACAATTTTGAAATACAAAATTTATTTTATTATTTTAGAAATGTTATTTAAATTTTTTATTATTAAAAACATTTAAAGTATTTTATTAAATCTTTGTTGAAAATGTATAATTTATTTCAAAAACTATATTCATTTTAATTCTCAATTTCATTGTACATGTTTTGTAACATTTTGATATTAAATTTCAATTTTATTATACATACTTTCAATTTTCAAATATTTAAAAATTTATAAATACTTTAATTTATAAATAGATAAAAATTTAAAAATTTATAAATACTTTGACTTTTTAAAAATATAGAGCAAAAATTAATTTTTTAATTTTTTAAATAAATTATTTTTTCAAAAATGTGATACGGTGATAATAATATAAGTAACAAAATAATCTTTTAAAACAACTAAGATAATAATTATTTAAGTTAGTAATCGAAAGATTTTAACACAATATGGAAAAATAATGATGGTTCAATATAAAATTTAGTATTTAGAATACAAAGAGAATACTCATCTGCCGAATATTCATGAACGAGAAACTGAATACTCATGCCGCATTTTTTATTTTTCTTGTAAAAAACATGTATGCATATACTCGTAGGAATCGTAATTGTACTGCTCATACTCTTGCCCGGTGTGCTACGTCCCATGCTGTCTCATGGAGCCGTACACCACCCGATTGCATTGCACATTCAATTTCTTCTGAATGAATTTTTTCCTTACCGTAAAAAAAATATGTATGCACATTTAGTTGATACATAATGCTCATTTTCTTTTCTCGGGCTTGACCCGCAGCTCCCCTCTTCACACTCGCCCACTTGTGGTCCACATTGGCATTTTTCGAAATGAAATAGCATCTTTCATTAGGGTATCTTTAAAAATCGAGTAGCCTAGTTTCGTTGACACTTGTTGACAATGTCACTAGCGATGCCATTGCGTTTTTGGATCACTTCCAGTATCCTATTCGCAAAATTGATGGTTCTAACCATCTAACCTACCCCCTAAACCCCCCACCTCGGCCCATTTTAACCCCCCTCCAAATATGTGGCTATGCAATGCATAATAGCCACACATTTAGAGGGGGTAAAAGGGGGTCTAAGGCGGGGGCACAATGGGTCACGCTAAAGTAGGGATGCAGTGGAGGTTTATAGAGGGGGTTAGAGGTTAGAAATCATTAATTTTTTGAACAAAACACCAGAGACGTTCCGAATGAGCGAGTTTCATACGTTGACACTAGAAGCCGGTATCAGCGGAAACTTATCCAATGAAACAATATAAAAACAATGCTAGAGATACACCAAGGTATACACCAATACTCTTTTAACCACACCATTCTACTTGGCCTACCTCAAGCATTTTTTATAATATAAAGTGCTTTGTATGTTTCGATGGAAAACCAATTAGTGATGGCCTAATGGGAACTACAAATTCAGAAGAAAAAAAATGCTAGAGTCACCATCTAAATGATCACAAAATTTATAAGCTTACCATTTGTAAATATAAATTCTTATTTTTACATTATTTAAATTTATTTTTTGTTTAACATGAAGTTTGAGAATAGTAAATTTATAATTTCAATGGTCATTATATTTAGTTTGTAAAGATAGCATTACAACAAAGCTTGAAAAATGTCATTAAGAGCACAGGCAATGGCAAGTAACGAAATGGAATGCCACACGTTGACGTGGCACATTTCAATCAATAAAAGACAATTCAGTCAGCGTGTGGCAAGTGAATGGAGAGGCATCTCGTACAGTGACAAGTCATTGTTTTTGTCATTTTTTATGATTTTTTAATGCGTTTTAATTATTAAAAATTATTTCACTTATCTTTTTTATATAGATGTCTCTTTTTTAAAAAAATTATTTCTTCTAAAAAAATAAAAAAATAAAAAAAAAAATTGAAGATGCCCCGCGCCTCACACGCTTGGCGTGGAGGGAGGCTGAAGCCATGCGAGGCAAAAGTGCCGAGGAAGCGAGCGAGGAAATGCCTCGCCGCTGCACATGCCCTAAAATAGTTGGAGTAATGAACCCAATTTTAGAAACATTTTTTCAATATCTCACGTCCGCACACTCAAAATGACGCAGTTTTAGAAATTGGATTTCGTTTTTATATAAAGTTTTGTTTTATTTTTCAAATCAATTTTCTATAATTTGATTGATTTCAATTCAATTTGCATTTTCTAGCTTTCCAAAACTGCCCCTAATGGGAACTAGTAAATTCGCAAAAACCAACAAAAAAAACATGAAGAAAGTCATTAAAATAGTTGAAGCAATGAACATAATTTTAAGAACTATTTCAAAATCACTCCTATGCCAAACCAACAACTCCAACCTCACTACAAGGCGAGGAGGATGAAGAAGAAGAAGAATGTGAAGGCGTTACTTGGCGCCATTTCTCATCATCGCTCTTGCCTTCAAATGCCACCACACCATCATCCATAACGCCGTTGTCTTCGTCATGTTTGAATTCGTTTCCCCTCAACCGTTTCCCAAAAACAAAATCAATTTCTTCATCGAAGCTTGAGTCATTCATAAAGTCAATGCTCGGAGGCTTCATTGCCCAATGCTTGTCCTGAAATGAGAAAACAAAAGTCAGAAAAGTCGCACACGAAAGCATATTTTAGGCCGGGTTCTTTTGACTCTGAAGCCTAGTGTCATATTATGACATCGTCCCTTGGAAATTCAAAAAAAAAAGAATTTTAAAAATATCAAATAGGAAGAACGATAATGTACAAGGAGCCTCTAATAAAAAAAGGGAGGTTCCCATGACATTGGTTTCCAATGTCATGGGATGACTCGGGGGCGCTCTAGTGCCTCGTTCGTAAAATTGATAATTCCTACCTCCTAACCTTTCGGTAAACCCCCACCCTCCCCCGACCGAAACACACCCATCGCCCCCTTCAATTGCACTCCACAATTCGATTTTGATTTTGGAGTCAAATTTTGATTCCAAAATCAAAATCGATTTTTGGGTTTGGGGTGCAATTGAAGTGTGCGGGGGTGTGTTCGGGTCGGGTGGCTGTGGGGTTTGCCGGGAGAGTAGAAACCATCGGAGCACCCCCGAATCATCCCATGGTTCCCAATGTTATGGGAACCAAGGTGTAAAAAAAATTAGGGGGCCTTGTGGCCTTGTCATCACCTGATCAAGAGACATGTTTGGCACGGGAATGGTCTCGAACCCGACACCCAAGCACAAGCTCCAAGGGCAATCTTGGTCATCTTTTTCAACGAGCGCCTCGTCCGACGAGTGAGCCGCTAAAAACGACTCTTCCACTCCCCGCTCATCGTCTCGGTTTTCGCTTTCGTGGTTATGATCACAGTCGCGGGTTTGGTCATCGTCGGATTTGGGAGTTTGTGTTTGGGAACGCTCACGAATCTCCTTCAGCTTGTCTTCATAGGCGCTGATGTCAAAATTGGTCACTGCATTAGGCCCTTTGAACTCAAGTGCTGCCTTATCATATGCTGCTGCTGCTTCCTCTTGAGTCCCTTCAACATTTATTGGGCAAATGTAAACTAACAGTCAAAGTGTGAAAATCCACATTTTATTAGAGTATACGGAGTATATTGTTTGTTTCCATTGAAAAAATGAAAACTAATTAGACCTGGCCAAAAATGTCCCGACATGTTTTTGACTCGAGACTCGACCCGAAAATACTGGGTTTTGAACAAAGGTTTTGCTGACCGAACCCGAAGTTGACCGAACCCGAAATGACCCGCTAAAAATGGGTCAAACCCGACCGAATCCGAACCACCGACCCGCTAATCTAAGATTTTTTCAGAATCATACATTTCAATATGAAATATAGTATTATAAAAATAAGATTATGATTATATATCTTTGCTTACTACCCATTTTTTGTGTATAGATTTATAACATCATAACAAATTTTAATGATGTCGCATACTTATCTTACATTTTTTCAAAAGTTCTACATATTTAAATTTTTTTATTCGTAATATTGACACTAAGTCATAAAAATTACTTAAAATTTTAAAAAAATAAATGAAACTCATAACCCGTTGGGTCAACCCGAACCCGAACTTAACCGAACCCGAAGTAACCCGAATCCAAGGTGACCGAACCCGAACTCGACCTGACCGACCGATTTGCCAGGTCTAAAACTAATACTCTTCCCGTTCATCAAAACATTTCCTCTTTAATTTTTTTTCCACCAAAACATTTTCAATTTCTATCAAGATATCAATTTTATCTTACTTTTTCATATTATATCTATCACATCAAACTTTTTTCTAATAATCTATCCATCACATCTTACTTTTACCCATTACATCAAGAGTAAAATTGGAAGTCCACTACTCCCTCTGTCCTAAAACTTTCTTCTCGGTTCGCAAAACGAAGAAAAAATCCCAAGTTTTTTAAATCTATTTTATTTAAATATTGGCATAGAAATAAAAAATAAAACATACATATTTAAAAACTACATCAAAAGTTCAACAAAACAAGTGGTGACAATAATATTTTATTTTATCATATAGGCCATGAAAAAACACAAATAAATATAAATTCCCGTAAAGTTGGAATAGTGTTCTGGGAAGAAAGTTTTAGGACGGAGGGAGTATAATTTAACACTTCTTTAATTTGAATTTTGGTCAAAATGGGAAGGATTTTCCAAAACAGAGGGCGTTAATTGTACGTATTTGCTCAACCCATAAATTTAATGAGTAGATATGTACTTTGTATTCTTCCATCCGTTCCAAATTAATTCTAAATTTCATATTGATTATGCTCCGAAACATTGTCACTTTTTAAATTTCTTGATAAAAAATAAAAAATGTATGGTATCCCATTTTTCTCTTAAAAAAAAAATTTAACTGCTCACTTTATCATTCAGCATTTTTTTCAAAATTCATGAAGTAAAACTATGTCAATTAATTTGAAACAAAGGAAATATTGGTAGATAACTAAACCGACTACAAAAATATTATTTTTACTAACACAATGATTCTTTTAAGTTCACATTGTGACACTGAAGTTCTACGGTGTTCTAGCCTATTGGGTCTTGAAGTTGGTCATATACCTCTAACTTCTAATAACCTCCACGAATCCCTTGCCTCTTAGCTCTCCCCGAGTTGCCGAAAAGTTATCGTTTATCACTGATATCATTGAAATGCTACAGTTTTTATTATCATTTCAGTAATTCGAGGAGAGCTAAAGGAGCAAATAGGCAAGGGACTTAGGAGGGTAGGACCCAATTCCATCTAGAGGTCACTCAAATGGCCAAGTAGTATAATATGACACCTAAAATAGTAAAGGAGTGTTTTATTATTTATAATGATAGAGTCTCAAGAAGAGTAGGTGTAGGTATAGTAGACATACCGAATGTTCCCAAGTAGAGATACTTGCTCCCAGAGACCAGCCCTATTCTTGCTTCCCATCTCCCATTTTGGTGGTGCCTGTCATATGAACTCATATATTTAATTAATAGATCGAATTGACCAATATTGTTAGGCCAATTGTTGATCATCACAGGTTTTTTTTTATGACATATGTTGTTTGACCCCGAAATGTTTTTGCCCCATAAACCATCTCAGTCCCCTCAATGGCACCCCTAAATTTGGTTGACATTGTAGTCAAAGTTCTTAACTAGAATGTTAATAGAAGTTGAGGGTGCAATTAGGGGTTGGCGTAAACTAAGTGGAGGTTTGGGTGTTAGGGGATTAAAATTACTTTAGGATCAAACGAAACATTGTAAGGACTGTAAATTGCTAAGTATCACATTATGGGACTGCATTTGGTGTCAAAATTAAAGAACCACTCTAATTGTTAATTAAACATTAAATAGTAAGGTGTAAGAATTAAAACGTGAATTTATTTTCCCTTATCAATAATTCTCTCATTTTTTAGGCAAACTTGTGCTTTTATTGAAAACATTCGTTGTATGTGGGAAGATAGGTCGTGATTGATAACACTTGCCCAAAACGTGTACCAAAATTGGTCAATTGTTACTGAAATTGCTAATCAAACATTAAGTCCGCGGTGCGTATACGGTGCATTAATTTATTGGTCCTTTACACTCTTTTTTAAGCCATATGCAACTTCGATCAACTACAAATTAATCACATGTAATGACAAACCTCACCCTACCTGCATGTGTTACTTTGATCAATTATAAATAAATCACACAACATAATGGCAAATCGCACGCTTCTTGCATGTGTAACTCAGTTCAAGTGTAAAATAATCAGGCGCATGTAATTCCGATCAAATATAGAATAAGCACCCTAATGTAACGATAAAACTCACATTGTGCATGCAAAGACAAGTACAAATCGACAATGCTTGCCCAAAAAGCGTAAAATTAAACAAACATTTCCAATTTGTTGATCCACACAAATCTAAAATGGGAAAACAACTATAGAATTGTCACTCTAAAAAAGCGTAAAAATGAACTGTCATTTCCAATTTGCTAATCCACATAAGTCCAAAAAGGGAAAACAGCCAAAAGCGTAAAGATGAACACGCATTTCCAATTTACTAATCCATGTAAGTCTAAAATAGGAAAACAGAATTTTGTGTTCTTACCTGGCAACACCTCGGTACTTCGAAACGCCTCGAGAGAAACCACTACTCTGCCGCCTTAACAAAGCAAGGTACTCCTCTCTTGACACCTTTTGCATTTCTTCATACTCTTTTGTGTATCTTTCCACCTATTATAATACCACATTTGTTCAGGGAAAAAAAAAATTAATACCACATGTTTGTGGCAAAAATGGTCAAGAAAATGGCCTTTAAAAAACCTAAAAAGGAAAGCAATGTTTAAATAACATACATGACTTGTTTTAGCACATTTTGGAAACATTATTTGAGAAAGAGTATTTGCCTAAGATTTCAAAAAAGATTTTCCTATGGTCACACTATGGATAATAACAAATTTAATATTGTTAATGACAGTGTTTCACAGGGTGTCTGACGTGATTATCGATGCTAGTGTCAAAATTGATTTTATCTTTAGAGGTAAAGTAGTACGGAGTACCATAAATCTCTTTTCAAAAAAATCGTGACCATATATTTGGAAGTACCGAAAAGTTAAGTGTGGCTTTAGGCCCCCAATACTTAAGAGCAGCGAGATCATAGGTTCTCCCGGCAGCCTCTTCACTATCAAATGCCCCTGCACCCAATAACAATTTATGGCATTTATCATTTTTTATACGTAGTATTTCTTTAATTTTCAATTTAAATAATACCACTTAGCTTGCACCTCAAATTCAATGTCAAAATTAAGTTTTATAATGTAATAATTTGACTATTAATATATCAAATTGTACATATGAAAAATCATTTTTAACATTTCAAATAATCATAGTCATAACTAGTTAACTACGGTGACTTTAAAAAATTAGGTCCTACAAAATTAGGAATACTTGGCACACCTTCAAGGTTGATAACAAGTACTCCCTCCATCCTAATTTGGGCATTTCAAATTAAGAATATCATTCTTTTTAAAGAAAAAAGTTTGGGTTGGCAATTTTTTTATACTCCTTCCATCTCGAATTGATTATCTCAGTTTGATGTCAAATGTCAAAGAGTTTAAGAACAATTTTAAAAAGAGAAATGAGTGATTGAAATTTGATTGTAAAATAAAGAAATTGTGGACCACACATTCTTTACTTCGTACGTCATTAAGAGAGTAAAAAAAATGACACAATTATTTTGAGACTGACAAAAAAAAGTGAGACGAATTATTCAGATTAAAGGAGTATTAACTTTTCCAAATGATTTTTAACTTGAGTTTCTTAATTCTCATTTTGATTATTTGTGAGAACCTTTTTTTAATTAGCACATGAGAGCTTTAATATGAAAACAAATTGTTCCGTAAAGCTAACGTTCATGCTTATTTTATGAACTTTAGCAGCATATAAAAATGGGGTTTTTACAACAAAAAATCACATGCAAGCCCGTGAAAAAACTTGAGAAAGTCCACAACATGTAAGCATCACTCTAACATAAAAAAGGAGGATGATAAACTTACCCAAATAAACTAAAACCGTGACAAAGTATTTGCCGGCATTCCAAATAGAGTTTATATTCCCCAGATCATAAAATGAAAAATATCAACAAAAAAAGGGTTAGGTGCAACTAATTAATAAATTAATTTAGACTACACACACACACAAAATTCATTTTTTCTGTCAAGGAACCAACTCAACCACAAGCTTGAGCTTGTGGTTGTGGCCCAGGAACAGTTATTTATATTCTAACACGCCCACTCGCGTGCAGGCGTAGTCTTTTTCGAGCCTTGCACGTGAAACTTTATTTTTTTTAAACTGGGTGGCGCTGAGTTTCGAACTCGTGACCTCTTAGTCAACGAGGCTCCGATACCATGTCAAGGAACCAACTCAACCACAAGCTCAAGCTTGTGGTTGTGGCCCAGGAACAGTTATTTATATTCTAACATTTTCAATTCAAGAAAATGTACATGAAAATTAGAAAGTGTGGATACCTTGTTTTCCCTTCTTGCTCATAGTGCTGTTCCAAGAACTCTTGTCCCATAGGTGAGCTTCATACCTCCCACTCCACCTATGCCTAAAAAATTCAACAAAAAAAATAATTAATATTTCAAAAATTATTTTTTTTTAAATTATTTTTTTTAAAAAAAATTAAAATGTTAAAAGTGACATTAGAATGCAATTAAACTAATTTTCATGCTTGCATTTCAATGTGACCAAACATAAGAGCAAAATTTTAAATCTCATATATAAAAAGTAAAAAACCAAAATTTAAAACGCCAATTAAAGGAAACAAAATTGTGTATGACCAATTAAAAGAAAAAAATAAAGACTAAAAACCAAAAAGTGTACAGAAAAAAATATTTATTTTTTGCATGCAAATATGCAATCCAAAGTGACCAAACATCATTAATTAATAAACTAAAATCTCCCTCATTAAAACAAAAACTCCATAATATTCAGAAAACTAAAATTTTTGCACGTAATGAACAGTGTAAAAATTAACATTTCAGAAAATGGGATATTGGCATTCACAAAAATAAAATAAAATAAAATAAAATATTTAATTACCTCGTTACCCCTCTATAAATGGAGCTTTTTCTGCAAGCTGCAGCAGCAGCAGTCCGGGTGCGAGCTTTCTGGGCCTTTGGGCGTTTAGGCCCAGTCTCAAGCTTGGGCTGGATCAGAGCAGATTCATTGTTGGGCTCAATGCATTGAGGAGAAGTAGGCCTCTCCATTTCCACTCACAAAACAAATTCAAGATCTTTTTTTTCAAAAAAAAAAGGCAGATTAATAATTAAAAGATAAAATCAAGAAATGGCCTTTTTTTTTCTTTCTTTCTTTCTTTTTTTTCTTCTAATAAAATTGCAAATGGATGGAGAAGAAGAGAAGCCACTGAANGGGGGGGGGGATAAAGCATGACTCCATGAGAGAGTTTCTTACTTGTATCAATTGAGTTAGTTAACAATTTGAACACTTGTCCTATTTTGCAGAGCCATGCTGCATTGCTGCCAATTGGAAAGAAAGGGCACATCTCTCCACTCTTTTTTTATTTTTATTTTTATTTTTTTAAATTTTGCTGCACCTTTTTGTTTTGCATCCAAAAAAAAAGAAAAAGAAAAAACTAAGTTTGAAAGTGGTGAAAAGGAAATATCTTGTGAGGTAAAATAAGATTGAAAGTATTTTTTTCTGGGATATTTGAAGAAGGAAATGAATTTAAAAAAATTGGGACGAAGGAAGTATTCTCTCCGTCCCAATTTGAATCACTTATTTCAATTTACGATATTTGATTGAAGTTATTTTCAAATCATTTTATATGAAAAATAATGTAGAATTAAAAAATTTAAAATGCGTACATAAAAACTTAATCAAAGATGTACCAAACTAGTAGTAACATAACTATATCATTTTATCAAATGATTACGAAAAAAATGAATGAAGTTTGATCATGTGAATAATAAACGTGCAAGTTAATTTGCGACGAAGAATTACTTTTTTGTTCTTATTTAAAAATAAATAGTTTGCCACAATAACTTATTATGGTTTTCTTAATTAATGTTAACTACAAAAAGCGCTCTTATATCAAAGGTTGTCCCAAATAGAAAATCAAAGAAAATGATGAATCTAGAAATTAATAGACTTAGGGCAAGTATTTTAGAGTTTAAACCTTAACGTCTTAATTTAAAGTTTTTTCAAGTTTCTTCACATTCTTTTCCAGTTTGTTCCATTTCTTTCGGTTCCTTCCAGTTTCTTTTTGTTTCTTCCATTTTTTTCATCTATTCTCATTTTTCTTCAAATTTTTTCAACTCCCCAAACAATTACTCTAAAAATAATTTTTTTATTGTGATCATTATACTTATTATTATTATTAGAATTACTATATTCATAACTATAGTTTATAAACTACTTCATTTTTTATCCAAAAAAAATAGAGAAAAAGGAAAATAAAGGGGGAAAAGGAAAACAATGAGCAAAAAAAATACCAGGAAACAAAAAAAGGAACGGAGAAAAAAAGACACTTCACATTTCCCTTTATTACTAAATTTTTATTCATTTTTTATTTATCTCAAAGAAATTGTTTTGTTTTTCATTTTTCAATTTTTTTTTAAAAATTTTTTAAAGTCAAAATGTTTAGAGAAAAAAACTAAATTAGGAATAAAACATAAACAATATACCTAAATAGGAGTTTATGTTATTATTCCTAAAATATGAGTTAGAACGCAAATATGATGTCAATCATGAAAGAAAAAAAAAAGATTTGATCATATTACATCTGATATTTAAAACAAAATCTTGCAATATACTCCGTATAAAAGTAATTACAAATATATTCTTTTATAATAAATGCTGCATAAATAAATTGAGATGCAACATAACTACAACAATTTTTTAAAATTTAAGATTTTAATATTTGTGCTAACTTTATATTCTAATTAATTTTTTCAAAAGTAGATTTTTTTGTATGAAAAATGACAATACTTACATTAATTAAGATAACATGATTATGAATATAAATAATAATAATAAAAATAATAATAATAAATTTTAACAACAACAATTCGAATGAGAAAAATATAAAAAATACACTTAAATAATTTTTTTTTAAGATTTTCCAATTTCTTCTAGTTCCAATATTTTCCAGTCCCTTCTCATTTTTCTAATTTTTTCAAATTTCTTCTAACATCCAACTCTTTTTTAGTCATAAAGAACAGACCTTTATTGGGGAAGTTTGATGAATGAGATGAACAATAGGGGGTCCGGGGGCAACACCTCTTGATTTCTTTTTAAAATAAAATAAATTGACAAAAAATGAATTTCATCTGAAGTAATTATTTAAATAAGTATATGTTGGGTTAAGGAACCCGGGGGCCTAGGGAACTAAGCGGAAGAATATCGAACTAAGTCGAGAGTACACAAATTTGGGGTCAAGTAAATTAAGAGTATTATTGTGTACTTGTTAGAACGTAAGTCCCACTTCCTTTGGAAGAGGTTTATATGCGAATTAGAATATAGGGTTCCCAACCGTTGGTCCGGAGTCCAACGGTCTGGCCCACTAAGATTGGGTTGTTCACTGGCGGCGCCAACTGCATCATTATCCATAGGATTGCTATACAAAATAGGTTACAAATAGGATAGCTAGAACAACTCTGCCAGAGGTATGACAGGGGTCCAATCGTGGGCCCCTTGATCTTGACTATTAAGACAGCTTCCTTGTTCGGATCTGGTCTGCTGGCGCCCCAGGTCGAGGCCGAGTGTGTATATCGTGTCTCCGGAAGTCCCTTGATGGAAGGCCGGCCGAGGGTGGTCCGAGGACGACCGACCCTGTCGAGGCCGAGCGTGAACTGTCTCCGAGGTGGCCCTCCTAGGTCTTCCGTTTGTTCTTGCTTTGGTTCAACTAAGTGAGTTTTAGCGTGGTTGGGCTGGACCCCTTATCTGTTGGGCCGAATACCCCCATTCCCGGGTATCCATCAGTATATATTAGGGGTGGACACGGGCCGGTCTAAGCCAAGTTTTGTATAAACCGGACTCAGCTTGTTTTTATTAAAACGGTCCGGGCCGGAACGGGTTTTCAAAATTTTAAAATTGAAACCAGACCTAACCCGACTTGTTTGAAACGAGCCGATTCCACGGGTCAACGGGTTCTAACCTATCATGATACTAACATCCTCCAAAACAAATAGAAATTATAGAATAATGCCTTCAAAGGGTAATTGGATAGTGGATTATGAGGAATTGAGGTGTGAATAATTACAGGCCACATACAAAACTGACGTAGAGGGATAAATGAAAATAAAACAATTGCATAAATGAAGCACATCCACATATATAAAACACGTCCACATAATTGCAAGCCACACGTCCTGGAAGGACCGAAATATTGAAGGACTTAGGCGGGTATATTCGTATATTTACTAAAAAATAATATTAAAAATAAATTTTGGGATTTAAAAAAACGGTCCGGTCTGGGTCCAATACAATTTCAAAATGGGGAACCGGACCGACCCTAAAAGCTATAAGGACCGGACCGACCTGGATCGTTTTAAATTTTTGAAAAGACGACCCGGACCTAACTCGGACCGAACCTGGTGGTCCGGTTCCGACTCGCGGTTCCTGGACCCGATTGTCCACCCCTAGTATATATAATGAGAATTTTAAAAACAAAAAAATGTAATAAACGAACTATATCACAAATTAGTACAATTGTCATGTTTTAAATGTTTTACTTTCAAATCCTATTTTTATAGTTTTTAAATGATTGACTTTATTATCCAGTCTTTTTTGAATGTTTAATATCCAGTCTTTTAATATCACTGGATTCATTTATTTTAAAATTTAGGAAAAATTGGACTTGATGGGGTCCCTGATATTTTAAATGGGTAAAAATTATTTATAATATAGTAGAGTTATTAAGAAAAGAATGAGGGGAAATTTGATTAAGGAAGTCAGAAGGATAAGAAAAGAAAATGGTTCACTAGAATGAGGGGAAATTTGATTTCCTTCCACTTTTCTTTCTTTTCATCTCTTACCAAACATGAAAAATTATATTTTTCATCCCATTTCCTTTTCTTTTCCCTTTCATATTCCTTTTACCAAACATAGTGTAAAAGTATAGCACATTAGAATCTTACCATTCAAGCAGCCTTGACATTCTTGTAATGGATTCTAGAGTTTCAGGTTCCACATTTAAGCAGCAAGACATACTTGCAACCATAACTGCAATAATATATTTCAATAACACCAACAACATGCCTAGTAAAATTTGAATCCTCCATTTGATCTGGTTATTTTGGGTTCAGTCATCTTCAGATTCAATTTTCAAATACTTTACTCAAAACCCAGTATTACTGGGTCGGATCTCATAACTACAACAGGCCAGATCAATTCTTATCAGGTCTAGATTCATAGCTTGAAATGACGAGGAAGGCGTCCATGTTCGCCGACCAGCCTTAAAATCTCTCTGGCAAAGTCTTGATTGCCAGTGAGCAAAAGCCCGTTTAGAACCCGGTTGAAAGTGAACCGTCTTGGCAAAAACCCTCTCCCAACCATTTCCACAATCAACCTGCCAGCCACAAGCAAATCATCTGATTTCTTCCTCACAAACATAGAGCTGATCAATACGTTGTACGTATCCAAATTAGGCAAACAATATTCCCCACAGTTCATCTTCTCAAACACCTCAAGAGCCTTCTCAAGTTCTCCTTCGTCGCAGTAATACCGGACAATCACATTGTAAGTCTGAACATTGGGTTCGCATCCATCATCGCTTTTCCTCATTCTATCCAAATACCCAAAAGCCTCGTCCGTTCTTCCCCTATGACACAAACCCCTAATCACTGCATTATAAGTCATTGTATTCGGAACATACCCTTTCCTCAACATCTCCTCAAATGCCAAAACAGCATTCTCCATGGAATCCTTCTTGCACAGCACTTGAATCAAAGCATTGTAAGTTGCGACCGAAGGGAGTACGCCACCTTTCCCAACCATCTCATTGAATACCTTCTGAGCTTTATCGACATCCCCTGCAACACCAAATCCATGAACCATAGTGGTGTAAGTAACAACATCAATCTCACACTTCCTCTTCTTCATTTGCAAGAAGAATCCCCAAGCTTCCTTAACCTGGCCTGCTCGAAGAAACCCCTTGAGCATTGTATTGTAGGTTGTCATGGTTGGATTCAAGCCTCTCTGAATCATTTCTTTCAAAATGTCTTGTGCTTTTGGAGTCTGTTTGATCAAGCAAAACCCATTTGCAAGTATGTTATAGGTGACAGTATCTGGTTTGAATTTACCCCTAAGCATCTTCATGAGCCTATATGCCATCTCGGGGCGCTTTGACTTGCAGAGCACATCTAGAAACGAATTGAAACAGCTCAAATCGTGGGGGCAGCCATGTTTATGCATTGATAAGAAAACCTTCAAGGCTTTATCAGCTTTTCCAGCAGAAACGTACCTTTCCGTGATGATAGAGAACGTCTTCGGTCCGGGGGCGAGTCGCCGGGCCTGCATCCGAGCCACGAGCTTCCAGAGAGTCCGGTAATCGCGCATCCGGGCGGCGATGTCTATAGCGTGGTCGAATGCGGCGGCGGAGTGGGCGTAGGACGGGTGGCGATCGAGGTGGTTGAAGAATTGGAGTGCCTTGGGGCCGTGGTTCCAGAGGCGCTTGAGGACGGCTTGGACGAGATCTGGCGTCCATTGGGTGAAGGCGTTGAGGGTTGACGGTAGGGTCTTCGCGTCTTCTCGGAGGATGCGATTGGAGAGACTGACGGCATCCGGTGGTTGGGTCGGGGCCGGAAGTGGAAGAGATGAACAGTGGTGGTGGCCGGACCATGGAAAGAGCTTCACGAGAGCGTTGGGGATTGTTTTGGGATTTCTCAGCATTTTTGTGTAGAAATGAATTGAAGAGCCCATTCATTAAAAATTTTGTAATGAATTTGGATTCAACATTTTGGCCCAATACCCAACTAATTGCCTTCGCCCAAGTCACAAAACAATATTTGTAAAAAACCTTCTTTGTTTGATACTTTGATTTTCATTGAATTTAAGAAAAGTTTTAAAAAATAAAAAGAAAGTAGTTAGAATTCGACGCAATATATATATATATATATATATATATATATATATATATATATATATATATATATATATATATTGTGCTACCAGTTGTACTATATGTATACCATATATCCATGGTAAGTATTCATTTATGAGCAACTCAGTGCTCATTTTTGAATAACTGAATGCTCGTTTTTTTTAAATTCAGTTATACTCGTAAATGAGTATTCTATCACTTGAAAATGAGTATTCAATTACTCAAATGTGATTATTCCAGCGAAAGTACGTGAAACATTATACATCCGGATGTGTGATATAGGTACCCCAAATTTGATGGGAGGATATAGAAACTTTATTAGCCACACATTCTTATTTTAAAAAGGAAAGTAAAGTTCTTTTTTACACGAATAAAAAAAAGAAGGAAGCTCGTTTAGTGACCAAAGAAATATGAATAATGATGATATTGTTATTCAAGTAAGGAGCAAGACAAATCTTTTTAGGTTTGAAAAACATACGGAGTAGTTACTGGGATTTGTTCAAATGAGAATTGTCTTTACTGCATTTTGACTCCAAAGTCAAAATCAAGTTGTGGGATGCAATTGAAGGGGGTGGGGGGTGTGTTCAGGCCAGGGCCGGGTGGGGGGGTTTACCGGGGGTTAGAGGGGGTAGGAACCGTCAATTTTATGAACGAGGCACCGGAGCGCCCCCGGGTCATCCCATGACATCAAGGTTCAATGTCACTTGACCTTCCCCCATTTTAATTTAGTTTTATTCACAACATAAATATTGTCCAGAAATCCCTCCAAAATAAAATCTCCAAAAATGACTCTTTTACCTGCATTGGCAGTGGACAAGGTTCCTTGCAAAAGTTCTAAAAGAGTAAGTAAAAGATTGCAAAAGAGATGATGAGGAAAATATCAAACAGTACTAATCTCTTTATATTTAGAGAAAATACTGCAATTTCCCACTATTTTATCATTAGAAATTTAAGAAAACAATGTTACCATAACCTGGTAATATAGTACGCAGTACTATAATATAAATGTGCTGTCTGCCTATCCCTGGACAACCTTAGCCATGCCAAATGCTGCTGCGGAAGCAACAGCTCCGATGAATGCAGTCTGAAGGGCACTCTTGAAAGGTTTGTTGCCTGTGAAGTGACCTTTTGCATAACCAAATATGAGGAGCGCGACTAAGGTTACAATGACTGATGCTACGACTGCTTCTCTTGCCACTGGGATGATCATGTAAGGGACAAGGGGGACTATGCCACCAACAATGTAGGCAAAGGCGATTGTGAACGCACTCTGCAACGCCCTTCTTGGGTCCGGCTTCTCCAAGCCTAGCTCAAACCTGTGGCAGACATAAGGTGTAACTGTTATTTAAAAGAAGGAAAAAAACACTTTCAATTTGTTTGAGGGTGGTGTTTGGCAATGATGTCTTTTTTGGTGAAAAAGAGTTAGAAACCACAATGTCTTGCCAAATAGGGCCTAAATTGAAGAGGCAATAATCTTCCAAAAATATTAAAACCTTGAGAGGTCAAATGTAATTGTCCGTTAATGCTCGGAGGGTCAGAGACTTGAATTCAAATTTGAGGCAAATACTACATGTGCCTAATTAAACTTCTGTAGATGTTTCCATAATGCTGATAGAGATGCTCAATCCCATGGAGCTACATGTTACTCAAGCTCAAGTACAATACTAAATATCGAATACAAGTGCATATGTCAGAAATACTGTGTTAAGTAGATTTTCCGTGCACAATTGGGCCTTTGGCTAAAAAGAAAGTCCAAGGTATTCATTTCTATTCATATCAGAGCAAGAAATTCTAGTTGCCTTGAGATGAAGCTCACAATCAAAACTGGACAATACATTGTCTACTTCACAAAAATTAAAGTTTCATTGTAGTAGCCCACCCAAAAGAAGGTATAGTAGTATTAGGAGAGGTCAACTACATGGAACTCAATGCATTATTGTACTCTACATAAGTAAATTTTCAAGTGGTCAGCGTGCTGTGAGCAATATTCCAAAGCTTATGTGATGATTTTGTACTTTTTTTCTCTTCGGCCCGTTTATGATAGCCTTACTGTTTGTACATGCAATATGCTCTTAATATGAAAAATCTTTTCCCGGCACCCGCAATGCATCTTTTTTGGAGGGAGAACCGCACATGTATATGTAAGTTAGTTGTAATTAAAAACAAACATGGCATGCTAAGCATATTAACATGTTTTTTTGGCAGATGTTGTGCAATATAAGCGCAGAGAAATAAAAAAGACAGGGAAGGGGGTAAAGGGAGAAAACAAGGAAGCACCGACTTCATCATGAAATCAAGCCAGGCCTGTGGCTTCTTCCTAAGAGCATTCACCACTGGAGTGTACTCATGTGCCTCGATCCCATACTGTGACAATATCTCAGCTACCTCAGCAGCCTCTGCATTTCTCATCCAAACATAGGAGGATTTTATCAATTTTTACTCCTCAAACACTTGTCAACAACGAAACAGCACAGTGAATATAATAGCAACAAAACCCACTATAATTCCAACTACGTTCGGGTGTGGGATCAAAATGTATGTAGCCTTATCCCTGTAAAAACATAGAGGATTTCTCCGACCCTTGATGCATTGCTGTATTTATTATCCAAAAATTCATAGAAATTCCACTGCAAATGAAAATAATGTGCCATTTTGATTTTTTATTTAGACCATTATTTAGCTAAAGCAACATTTGTCAGTAATTACTCTTTTGTACTTGATGAGGAATTCCTTGCATGCATTACAACAAGCACAAGAAGAGCCTAAGAATAAACACGAAAACATGAGTGTGTGAGCGAGCACAAGCACACGCATAGAGAACCTGTATCAGGCACTGCTATGATCTCTTCCTGCTCCCTTTTCAGCTCTCTGGCATAGTGATCTGCCTCACTCTTAGCAGCCAAATACCTTACATAAAATCAATGGCTTAAAATGGTTAGGCAAAGCATTCCTATAGTATGCACCATGGGCAATAGACACATCATACATCTGAATATCGGATTATAAATACTCAAATTCGGCGGATTAGGTCCATAAATCTTAACATATGAAACCCTAATTTTGTATTAATGGAAACGCATGAGGTGTAATAGGAAGATATACCCGCCAAGGCCCATTGAGATGGCTCCCGCAGCAACCTCGGCTATGCCGGCGGTGAGGATGATGGAGGAGGAGGCATTGGCGCCGGACAAGCCGGCAGCAAGCGCGAAGGGGACGGTGAGGCCATCCGATACCCCAATGATGATGTCACGTACAACTTCTCCGGCCGTGAAGTGCTTCTCTCTGTGATTGTTCAGTAGCAACATCTGCTTCCTTTCCGCATCCGCCGCCGCCGCTGCCGCCGCCATTGGGGATTCTCTGTGCACTCCGTATTCCGTGTGCTGCTCCTTGTGACGGAGTCGTAAACGCAAATGAGAGATTGGAGGGCGTTGTGATGTGCGAAGCAACTACAGACCTTTGGAAGAGAAGCGAAAGGTCGGCAGGAATTCATAATTTCCATACGGAGTATTTTGAATTTGGATAGCATTTTGCTTTTAGAATTAAGCAACAAAAAAATCAAATTCTTTCACTTCCTTTCTTTATTTTTATTAATTATTTGATAAAATAAAATAATTTTATTGTCACTAATTCTGTAAATATATTGATATAATTTTTATTTTTTAATTCTCTATAATTTTTCATATATAACATTTTAAAAAGTCAAACATTATAAATCGAAATAAAAAACTTAAATTTGATGGGAATACCGAATACATTACTAAAATTATATGTTATGCAAATGATAAGTCAATGTAATGTAAGAAAATCTTTGTATTTCATGTTACATACGCGCACCAATACCATTAGTTGGGGTTTGGGGTCGTGTCCCATTTTTTTTAAATAAGCTACTCCATATATGAAATGAAAAAAAAATATTTCAAATATTTATTGAAGGTAGAACATTTCTATTACTTACTATAAAATTTTAATTCAGAAATAATTATTACATCTATTACAGTATATTTGTCTAAATTGATTTTTTTGAGTCAAATTAGACAAATTTTGAGATTCAAGTATTATCAATTTGTATTACATAGTACATATTATTATAATTAAAAATATGTGAAAGTTCTCAATTTAATAAATCCAATAAAAATCTTTTTATACAAATATATATAGAGTATTATAAATTTTTAATTGAAATTCAAAGTTCATTCTGTTTCACCCGAAAAAATCAAACTAGACAAACATATTTGGACGGATTAATTATATGTAATAAAATAAAATTTACAAAAAAAAATTGAAATTTGAACTAATCAGATGGTGTCATATTAATTTTTTTAGGGCATATATATATATATATATATATATATATATATATATATATATATATCATTTTGTTACCTTATTATTACAAATAATAGTAGGGGCATATCCCCCCAGCTCCAATAGAGTGCATCTACCCTAGGGGTGGACACGGTACGGTCCCGGTACGGTTCCGGTTCCGGAACCGCCGGTTCCGGTACCGCCACTCCATGTCACCGGAACCGTCACCGTGCCGGCCGGTACCGGTTCCGGTACCGGACCGGTCGGTTTCGGCCCCCCCTTTTTTTTTGTTTTTTTTTAAATTTTTATGTATAAAATTTTAAATTTGCAATTATTTAAGGAAAGAATGAAGTCAAAAATCTAAAAATGTACTCCCTCCGTCATACAATGATCTTCCCAGAGCACTATTCCAACTTCACGGGAATTTATATTTATTTGTGTTTTTTCATGGCCTATATGATAAAATAAAATATTCTTGTCACAACTTGTTTTGTTGAACTTTTGATGTAGTTTTTAAATATGTATGTTTTACGGAGTATTTTTTATTTCTATACCAATATTTAAATAAAATAGATTGAAAAAACTTGAGATTTTTCTTCGTTTTGCGAACCGGGAAGATCATTATAGGACGGAGGGAGTAGTTGTTATTTAAATATTTTAAATGAATAATACACTAACTGAAGAACAACCACATTTAATATCCTGACGGTTCAAAAAAAGCGACGAGGTAAAGAACCGTAAAGAAACCCTCGAAGGAGCTTATATATCGCTCACCTAAAAAAACTAATTACATATTTACATTAACAAAAAAAATTATAACTTATTCTTCAGAACTCGGACTTCCATCTGTTGTTGCATTCATGTAATGCTCCAATTCGAGTTGGTACGTTGACTCTTGAGCTCGACGTCTTGCCAAGAGCCAATCTTGGTTGCAAACAAGTGTTTCAAGAGATTCAGCGCTAAGACAACTTTGAAAGTCGGTTAGAATGTTGCCGCCAGCACTGAATTCTCGTTCAACTGCTACGGTTGATACCGGAACGGATAACACTTGTCTTGCTAGCATGCCGAGACATGGGAACATGTGTTCGTTCCGCTTCCACCATCCGAGCACGTCAAAATCCACTTCGTCCTCATCGTAATCGCATGGCACACCCTGGTACATAGCAAGTTCGTTGTGCGAGCTTACTGTTGTACCACTTGAACTCGTCGAAGAATGAGCACGCTTCCCTTTCTTTGCAAGAAGCCCACCGACTATTCCGGCAAAACCTTTTTTTGATTTCGGGGGCGGAGGTGGTGCTGTTTCTTCTTGTACAGTGCCGTATAACCCTTGATATTCCTCAAACAAATTCTCAAAAAAAGTTACAGCATTATCTCTTTCTTTTTTCCATTCTACTAAATAAGAGTAGTAATAACTATTTTCATCTAAAAAACA